GTTCCGTCACAAATATATAAATTCAATCCTGGAATAATATCTATATATCTTTGTAAATTTCCATCAAAATGATTAAATGGAATAGCTACCCTTTGCCAAATTCGCTTTCAATAATATTGTATTAGAAATCACTAGTTATTCACCTTTTTTTTACAAATTATGGATTCAATCTACAATTAGGTATTAAATTTAATAAACTTTGCCCTTCAGATATAATAATAATATAGAAATGGGAATTCTTCAAAGGAAATAAAATAGCTGATTAGATGGAAAAGATATTAGAATAATTCAAGGTTTTTGTAAATCAGATAATCACTATATACAAGGAATATACAAATCGATACCATTCAGATTCCCTACAATACATTATTAAGCAATAAGTCTATATTAGTATAAAGAACATAAAAGTCTTCTAGAAAGTTAAGAAGTTAGATAACAAATGGATTAAACCATTTATAATCGAGAAGATATACCCCTGTTTTTATTTAATCAAATTATTTGAAAATATATGAATTTTCCTAGTGTTTTATTATTCGTTATTAATCCCTGTTTATCAAAAGTTTTATTTCCTTGGCTAAAAGAAGATTAACAAATCAGAGTTCTGAATCATTTATAATACAGTTTTCGAATATAATAATAAAGAAATAGAATCTATTCAGAAATGAATCTTTGAAGGAATTCTTAATAATCATAATGAAAACGGTTATTATTATCTAATAAAGTGAAGACACTATATTCCAACCTAGCAATCAACATCTGATTTGAAAGGAAATAAAAAGTTTCTAATAGAATACTATATATTGTATCTGGAAAAGCCTAGTCTACTAATCTGGGTCCTTTAGAATTTTATTATAAAGGAACTTTTTGTTCTAGCAAAAGTATTAGTTATATAAATATTATTGTTTACCAAACCTGGACTAAAATACTTCATTAAAGAAAGAAAATTATAAGTTAATAATATCGAGTTAAAGAAAAGTGTCCGATTCAATAATTACACTTATATAGTAATCTTTGATAATTATAGTTTTGATAATGGACAATGAATAAAACAGAAGAATTAGAATATATAATAATAATAATTTGATATAATTTGTTACAGAAAATAAGAGACTTTATATTATTATTATATTATACATTTGTTTGAGGATAAACAAGGTTTGAAGAGAGAAGATACTGTTACAGGTTCACTATCCGTTTCTAGCTAGTTCGGATAGATGCCTTAGGCATCCATCCACCATATAGTCATCGTCGCTCCGCATGCCTCTTTCTCTCCTTATGCACAACATCTGCATCCCGGAAACGGAACTACCGCGACTAGCGGGGCTGGTGGCGAACAGAGTGGCATACTTGCCCATAAACGACATTCTCGACACCCCAGAAAGGATAAATGACTTCACTGACCAACTCACTGAAATCATCAAATAAGCAATGACCACAACAGGAACCATAGATAGAGGAAAAGGCAAGGCAGCACTCTGGTGGACAGCGGAATGCAAAAAGGCCTATACCGAATACCTGAGCAGACAAGCCATATCAGAAAACCCCCCTACCATAGCAACAAAGGAATTCAAAACGACAATTAAAGCAGCCAAACGCGATTACTGAAGACACATCATAAATGACATTTCTAGTGACAAGGATCTATACAAAATAGTCAATTGGCACAAGCTTACCCCAAACCTCAAAAGCCCCCCAATCACCTCAAACAGAGTAATAATAAAAGATATGATGGAAAAAGCCGAAGTACTCAGAACAGAGATCCTGGATCGCTTCAGTGTAGAAAATAACCTGGAATATAATCCACTAGATGATTAATAGAAAGAAAGCAAACACTTACCCTAGAACTCCCAGTTCACATTGGAAAAAGTCGAAACAAGCATTATTGAAGTATTCAGTATATCCCTAGGAACTAACCAAGTCACAATCAGAATCCTCAAGGTCTGCTAGGACCACCTCAAAAATCTATTAAGATAGTTTTACCAGAAATACCTTGAATATAACTATTTCCCGAAAACCTGAAAACTAGCTGAAATAGTTATGTTATCCAAAATCAGAAAAAAGGATATGATATCTGCAAGATCATAGAGATTTATTGCTTTACTCTTCTGTATAGGAAAAGGCCTAAAAAGAATAATTGCTAAATAATTAGGCTGGATAGCTCTAAAGCATAGTATTATCAGTTCCCAATACAGAGAAACCTTATTCAAACACTCTGTAATAGATCTGGTAGTATTCTTTATATATGATATAGAAACAGTATTAGCAGCTAGAAAGAAAATAATCATAATCATTATAGATGTGTAAAACATCTTTGATACATTGTTCAAAAGACAACTTTTTGCTAAAATAATAAAACAAGACTGATCTAAGGACTTACTTCTGCTAGTTGATTCCTTTTTGATAAAAAGGAAAGTCAGAGTACAGCTAGAGCAAGCTATAACCAAAGAATATCCAATAGTCTATAAAACCTTTCAAGATTTCTTTTTATTATTAGTTTTGTATATATTGTACCTGGCAGAGTTATTCTCAGAAGATATCTCTCTTAGATTTGGGTATATAGACAATATATACCTATATAGAATATTCAAAACCCTGAAGGAAAATATTAGACATTTTATTACAAATGTACAAGATGTTATAAAATAAGGAATGAATAATTGTATTGTTTTTATTCCGGAGAAGCTGGAAATGATTTATATCTCTATAGGTAATAGTAATATAACACCTATTATCAGAGTAAGTAAAAAACTCACAATACACCCAATAATAACCACAGAAACAAACATTTATCCAGTACTGAAATAATTAGGAATGTGATTCAATAAAAAACTGAACTTTTGTAGACATATCATTGAACATACAAATAAAATCAGGGCAATAGCAAAGCATATACAAGGCCTAATCAAAGTTATACAAAGCCCCCTAGTATATACTATACATAAGGCAGTAATTATATATATATTTCCCTTACTCCTATATAAAACTGAAACCTGGTATAGAGATAGATTCAAGGTTGTGCAAAGACTAAAATCAGAATAAACAAAGATTAGTATCTGTTTCAACTAATATGTAATACAAATCGAAAAGGTTCTTATAATAACAACACAAGGAATTATATCAGCCTGGAAAATCACACCAGTAACTGCCCTTTATCATAAAACAGGTCTCCCCTTAGTTATAGCAGTCTTTAAGGAAGTCAAACTAAGGTTTGCTTTACACCTCCAAAGTGTAGATATAATCCATCTGTTTATAAAAAGAATTGAACCCCCTATAATTGTTAAAGGACGAGATATAAACAAAAGACAAAGAATAAAGACCAAAGTCTAACGATTTGGTTTCCTTATCCTTTTAATTCTAAGGTTTATACTCGAACTACCACGGTACACACCTGGTTGCTGAATAAATCCAATAGAAGGATTTGACAAGAAAATGGTTACAAAAGCCTTCAATACCTAGTAGAAAAACCTGTTAGATACAGATATTATTATCTTCTCGAATAGATCGGAAAACTATATAAAAGGAAAATATATTGTAGATTACAGGTATATAATATATTTAGATAAAAACCAGATATTAGCAGATTCCGGCTTTATCAATATCTAGTTCCATGTGACGGAAC